CCCACACACACCCCGTGTTTTTAATATGGATATTTGAGGCTCATTACACAGGTAAATGTTCAAAGAGGTTGGCATGTATGCTTAAGACAAGGGATGACGGAGAACTTTTTGTTAGCTTGTTCTTGTTGGTAGCTCACTACTGTTGTTGTGGAGTTAAATTTATGTTAAAAAAACGTTACAGTCATTGAAAAAAATTAATTTAAAGTTACTCTCATTCGTGTGARGTAAACCCCTGGACTGTGAACCAATCATTGAGCAGCAGTAGCTGACGGCAAAATTGGGCTGAGCAGCCCGGCCTGATTGGTACCACAGGTCTTGAGGTTCCAGAAATCAGGGTGGACCTGGGCCATAAGGGCTAATGCAAAAATGCAGAAGCCGGGTTTGAACCCCGGCTGAGCCAAGCAGGGCCACTCCATCCATCAATTCAGTTCAATTCAATTCGATTCGATTCAATTCATTTCATTTATATAGCACCAAGACACAACAATTTTTGTCTCAGGGCACAAAAATTCACTTGTAAACAAAACTCCCAGTTACTTAAAAGTCATCCACTTCCAGATGCTCCTGGTTTAAATAATGAAGCATAACCATTAAATGCATTAAGTTACATAATTCCCAATGAAAGTCTTATTATTACATTTTAATAAAAACTTAAATCTACTTCAATTTCATTGAAATACAGTTTATTTCAATTCAATTAAAATGCAGTTTAGTCAAAAGAATTTGTCATCACTTTAGTCCAATACAGTTTAAAATAAAAATTACAATCTAGATTTAATCAGCTGTAATCCAATTCACTTTAAWTTGTATTTCCATTTTGATTCACTTAAATTTGCTTCATTTTATTGTAATTATAAGCTAGTATACTGCAGTCTATCAAAATATAATATCGTTTACAAAATCACAAACTGTATCAAATGCTCTCTTCGCATCCCCAAACCATTTTATGCTCTTTTCCTGTTTACAGGCCTAAAAATGAAATGTTGTATTTACTTAACAATGTTATGTTACYTGGTTCCACTTAACTGAGTTGAGTAAATTCAAAGCAACATACTCATGTTCTTTAGTTAAAAAACTGGTATACTGCTTTGAATCCACTCAGCTCAGTTAAGTGGAACCAGGTAACATAATAATAAGTAAATACAATGTTTCATTTTTTTACAGTGATCCCCAAATTGTTCCAAATACACTAGCTAAGTACAGAAAAATAAGTTGAAAAAAACTCAATAAGAATGACACATGCAGCAGTATCAAACTGAAGTGTATCATGTCATTATGACTTCTGATCTAAACAATCTCACAATTGTCCACTATAGCCAAAAAATTCTAATAATTTTCCAAAGTAGCATCACATATTTGATATTGTTTGTCTAAAAACTTGTGCTGTAACCTCAGTTCCTCCACATCATGACTCTGAGTTTACTGTCCAGAGCTGAACTGAGGATGTGTGAGCTCTTCAAGCTCAGTAAAGCTCCACCAGAGTGTCAAGTGGATGATCAAACAGCCAGCTCTACTTTGAAAGACTTAAGAAGGTCTACTGTAAAAAAAAAAAAAAAAGAAAAAAGAGAAAACGCTTTGAACACAGAAACACATTAAACATTTCATAAAGTGGTCTACAGGGAATTACATGGTTAGAAATGTCTGCGAGAGGGTTCTGCATGTGTTAATTGCTCACCACACAACTAGAAATAGTGTCATTTTCATTTCTGTTCAAATCAAAAGAACTGTTCATGTCTTCACAGAATGACAGTCACAATTAGCACATAATACAATAAACCAGTCGGCGCCAAGCCTACTTCAAACCTGTCGCACTGTTTTGACTTGAAGGTCGGCCTTCTGAAAGATCAAAAACGTCAAAATTCCTTCATTTTTTTWAAAGTAGAAATCTTTTAAAGGCATTGACAGTTAAATAAGGGCGAGACGAGAGATTAGATAAGAATAAGTCAAACAGATTTAGGTCTGGAGATGGAAATGTGTGACAGATARGTGTGAAGAGTGTTTGAGTAGCAGACGATGTGGGCACGCAGGTGAGAGATTTATTTWTTTATTTTTTTGCGTTTCACAGTTTCACACACTATAAACGCTCCTGTTTGTTCTTGTTGGTGAGCTGTTAAAACTGCTCCGAGTGGCTGCACTTCAGTCTTTAACTACGGGAATAACTGCATGCACACAWAAAACCGAAACAGGTMGTGGTGGTGGTGGMGGGGTACATTGCTCAGCCTTGTTCTCACCTCTGAGGAGCTGGATGATGAACTGTGTGGAGTGGGTACACTTGTTGGGTTGTTGGACCCATTTGACAGCCTGTCAATTTACATTTTCTAAAGCTGCAGGAGAAGGAAGATCCAGATGCTGTTAATCTATCTAACAAGTCCGTTGGTTGAGGCATGGAAGTTTGAATTAAACTCTTACTTCAATCATGTTTAGTTTACTTGCTTTAAAATAAGTAGAAAGGTCTGTAAACATATTTTCTGATAGTTAAGAGCAGGGGCAGACTGGGACAATAAGCCAGGCGGGGAACTTGATACCATCTCAGGCCACCATCCGATTAACACATATTACCAAAACTCAGTTAAAATGAGCACACATTGAATGCATACTGTCTGAAGARGTCATCAATTAAATGCCTACAAAATAATTATTTTCTGATGTGGTGCAATCTGTACTCAAATTGCCAGTGGTGGACAGCGCTAACTCAAAAATTAGCTCCACYATTTCTAAAGCAAAAAGAYAKTCAGAAATGGTTTAAAGATGTTAGGCTGATGAAGACTAACATCTAGTGATCAACTGGAGCAACTACATGAAAAACTTTAAAATCCAAACTCTTATTTTGAAGGGAAGATAGRTTCCTGAACTCCGTGCTTTTGTTTCCCGTCACAAATCAAATCCATCGTGTACCCAGAATGCATCGCTTCAGTTTTCCAATAAACAGTTTTAAAATGACTTTGTTGATGCTTCTTTAATMAAAAATCTACAAAGAAGCAGTCGGACTAGCAATCCTCAACAACTTTTAAATTTTTACACCAGGAGCTAAAGGTCTGTTTCATGAAATCACATCCCCAGCAATCGGCGCTTATAGGATRAAGCTGTACAAATTTCATACACCGCTAGTTGGCAGTGTTGTACATATATTGTACATGAATTGTTGCCAGCTAGTAAGTGTCAAATTTAACTTGTGTTTTAAAATCAGCTTCTGCTATTTTTTCTATGGCGCAAGCGCTTTTGAAGTTGCGGACCTA